GTGTGTATGTTTTGAGTGCATCTGTGTGTTGTGTCCTTGGGTGATGTAAGTGTGTGTGTGTATATATATAACATACATATATATGTATATGTACGTGTACACACACACACACATACACACACATCATCATCTGCGCTCTGAGCACCCAGCATGTGCCAAGCTCTGCTCAGTGCCCTTTTCGCATATCCTATTGCCTGTTGCACACTGAGGCCTGGGGCTGGAGACACTGTTTCTGCTCCTGTTTTCTACATGGGGAGACCAGGGTGCCGGGGTACATTGAAGACCGAGTGTGCTGCACCCGGAGCTGCTGACCCTGTCCTGCGGGGCTGTGGTGCCTTTGCAGCATCCATGTATATAGATGGCCCTGTGCTGAGCCCCACCCCATCCTGGAGGGGCCACCTCTGTGACTCCCCCCTCTAAACTGGCCTGGGCTCTGTCTCCCCCAGTTCTTCAAAGACCTTGGGCCATTCGAGCTACCATTTCCTGTTTTCTCCTGTGAATGTAGGGTTTTCCCCCTGGATTTAATTTTACTGTCATTTCTGTGGGGTTTGGGGAGCAAAAGTAGGTGAGTGAGGTGGCCATCATGGCACTGCCCTGAGCATGGCGCTGTCCCTCTCTCCATTGTCCAGGCTACTGTGGGAGGGGAGGTGGGAGGCGGCAGGCAGGTGTGGTGCGGATACAGTACAGGAATGGTTGGGAGTCACAGTGTGCAGACGTGTCTCCTTCAGCTTTTCAGACTGCTTGGTGTGTCTGGGATGAGTTGTCAGTTTCATGCCTCTGCCTGTGTCCATCCTCTAATGGTCAAAGGCCAGGCCTTTGCTGGTGGTGACCTTTAACCCTCACCAAGGGCCCTTTGCAGTCAGATGTGTGCTTTTGCCTCAGAGGAGGACATGTGGTCCAGGAGGGCTCAGCCCTGCCAGCCCACTCTGCCTCCCAGCTCTTGCCCCTGCCCTGCCGGGTCCTTAGAGGGGGCCACACCCGTCACCAGCCTGGATGGCCCAGGGTGGCAGGCTGTGTGGCTGTGGCTGTGGCGGCTCCCTCTCGGCGCCCTCCTTAGGGCTGCTCTCGACATGCAGTGATTTTACCAGCTGTGATTAATTCTCGACCTTGGTCCAGTTTCTAGCTGGTGGCAGAGCGCTCTCTGTTAACACAGACGGGAAGCCATTTGTGTTCTCTTTCAGACCGATGCCGAGATTCAGGCGTTCTTCGTGGGCATAGACAGTCTGTGTAGGAAATACTCCCAGGAAACCTCCCAGGTGAGTGGAGGCCCTGCACAGAGGCTGGCCACGGTGCTCTGCCCTGTGTCCCTGCCTGACGGTGATGGTGACGGTGACGGTGACGTGCGTGCAGAACAGGAGCCTCAGCTCTGACGGAGTCCGAGTCCAGCTGGTCTGCGGCGGTGTTTGTGTTCTCCCAGAGGCTGTGTCACGTGAGACGTTGTGACACATCACGTCTGGTAATGTGAACAGTGTGCTTAATGCTGTTTTAAAGTGAATTAATAAAGATCTGAAAATCTCTCTCAGTCTTGATTTCTGATAGGTGAATACGGACAGAGTCTGCCTACGCAGAACTCTGGGCTCCTCAGGAACTTCAGGTCTGCTTCCCAGAGCGGGTGCTATGGTGCCGTGGGTTAGGCTACCAGTGGCGACACTGGCATCCCATATTGGAGCACCAGGTGAATCTTGTCTCTTTCACTTCTGATCCATCTCTCTGCTAATGTGCCTGGGAAGGCAGTAGAAGATGGCCCAAGTGCCTGGGCCCCTCCTACCTCTGTGGGGACCTGGATGGAATGCCAGATTCCTGGGTTCAGCCTGGCAGATTTGGCTGTTGTAGCCCTTTGGGGAAGGAACCAGTGGATGGGATTTTTCTCTGCCCTCCCCCTCTGCTTCCCTCTCCCCAATGCCTTCTGTAGCTCTTCCTTTCAAATAGTTAGTTTAAAAGAGAAAAAAAGCTCCCTCTGGCTCTGGCCCAGAAACCTGCCCTAGGGAAGCAGCTGCCCACTCAAGGCCTTCAGCCCTGGTCCCCTCACCCTGGTCGGATCACTAACAGCTTCGTTTTCCTGGTGACTGCCCAAAGACGCCTCTTTCTCAGTAGCACAGTCGGTCACAGCCCCAGCACTAACGCCCCTGGCCGCCTGTGCGCCTATGAGACTGCCTTTTCCTCCAGGCTGTCCATGCTTACGGCCTGTGCCAGTCTGTAGGCCGCGTGCAAAACATGAGAGCACTGGGTAACCCTCCCCTGGCTCTCTGGGGTCCAGGTCCAGCGCAGCCTCTGGCTTTGGCAGTTATTTCATTAGCCTGCTCCCACGTTGGGGTGGGAGGCACAACTTCTTTAAGATGAAGACAGTCTTGTTAACAAAACCTGCCCACTACTTTTTTTTTTTTTTTAAGATTTATTTATTTATTTGAAAGAGTTATAGAGAGACACAGAGAGAGAGAGAGGGGGGTCTTCCATCTGCTGGTTCACTTCCCATATGGCCAAAATGGCTGGAGCTGTGCTTATCTGAAGCCAGGAGCCAGGAGCTTCTTCCAGGTTTCCCAGGTAGGTGCAGGGGCCCAAGTGTCTGGGCCATCTTCTACTTTTTTCCCAGGCCATAGCAGAGCTGGATTGGAAGTGAAACAGCTGGGACTCGAACCAGCGCCCATATGGGATGCCGGCACTGCAATTGGAGGCCTTACCCGCTATGCCACAGTGTCAGCCCCAATGCCCACTTCTGAGGCCACAGAGGCAGAATGGTCCCCAGGCCTGGTGCAGAAGACTCCCAGACTTAGGCTCAGCGGGACTGGTCCTGTCTGCAGCTCAGCCCCACGCCTCATCTAATCAGGGTCAGCCGTGGGTAGGCCACTGCCGGCCGCAGAGACCCACACGCTGCTCTCACTGCGGTCCTTCACCCCCGTGGGCCTGGCTGGCTGTGAGGCCTCTTCCAGCTCTGAGAACCTCTGAACCCCAGGCCCCGCACCGGCAGAGCGTGGGTGTTCTCTTCCAGCCATGGTTTGGGACCACAAAGGAGATAGCCCATCCACTGTGCACGTCTTTGCCAGCAGGGCGGGGGGCGTGAACTCTGGGTCTGGATGGAGTCTGAGTTGGGAAGGGGTCAGGGGTGCTGTCCCTGCCCTGCTCCGGAGCTCTGCTGAAGCTGCAGGACAAAGCATGGCCGAGAGGGGCTTTGACCTGGTGAGGTGACGGTGGCCGGCTTGGCTGTGTGGGGCTGTCCTTTGAGAGTGGCTGTGGAGTCCCTGGTCCCACTCCTCTCTGTGGTCCTCGTCTGCTAGAGTGCAGAGCTCTGGGTTCTAAGTTCGTGTAGCTCAGTGGCCGTGAAGTGCCTTCCCTCCTAGCTGGAGTCGGGTTCCTGCCGCAGCCCAGTCCCAGACTGTGCGGCTGGGGAGAAGCGGGAGAAGAATCTGAGATGCAGCCCCGTCAGCCCTGTGGTGGGTGGGCCGTGGGAGGCTGACACAGGCAGGCTGGCATCTGAGGGCTGTGCTGGTGGGAGGGACATCACCCCCACTTTCTCAGCCACATTCCAGCTGCACAGTAAGCAGCTCCTGTTGGTCGGAAGGCTGGGGAGGGTTCTGGCCTGGCACTTGGGCGGCTCTGCTGGTCTCACTGGGCCTCATTCTTCAGGTCAGCCCTGCCCCCACCCTCTGCCAGTGCGCACACTGGGTTCTCAGTGCCCACTCCTGGGGTCAGCCCCCATTGTCAGTCCCGTGCCGTGAAGACAGTGTCGAGACCTGCGTCACCTCGTGCCGGTCTGCGATCCGGTGCAGCGCTGGCCTCGGGCAGCACCCAGCAGCCCTCAGTGGAGACGGTGCCTGGGGAGGAGACAGGACTGCTGGAGAGACAGCTCCTGCCCCCGCCCCCAGCATTGTTTGCTGAGCCCTGTGCAGTATCAGCGGCTGAGATACGTTGTCTTCTCAGATTTCAGAGTTTCAAGAGAAACACAGGAGGAGATTGCTAGCCTTCTACAGGAGAAAAGGTAAATCGCACTGATTTATCCCCTCTTGAATTTTCTGACCTTTTGACTTAAATGTCAGACTTGTGAGCCAAGCAGTGCTCTTCAAGGGCATGGGTGCCTGGACGCAAGACCTGTTTTTCCTGGCATTTTCAGCGATGGACACGTTGTCATTGTCCTCCGCCCCTCCCCGCCATCACCTGTTCTGCACTCCTGGCTGTGCTTGGCAGAGTAGCCTCTAGTACTCAGGACCTCTATTGGGTGTCCATGTTGCCCTCAGGTGGCCTGGGCAAGGTCGGGGACCCCAGAGCAGGCCACACAGAAAACAGGTGGCCCAGAGCCTGAGCCTGCTCCACTCCTTGTGTTTAAATAGGAGTTCCTTGTCAAAAAACTAGAGGTTGTTGAGCTAACAAAGGGAGAAGTCTAGAGCCAGAGAGACTCCCTTCCCTGAGTCCAGAACCCGGCCCACTGCTGGCAGGTCCTTTCGCCGACCTCAGGGTCGGGCAGGGGTGGTGGCTCAATTTCCAGGGCCAAGTGCAAATCCCAACTTTTTACAGAGTGCCCCTCTCAGGAAGCACCTGTGGGGGGTGAGCACCTGCAGGGCTGGTGGCCAAGGACTTCTGCTCGCCGCTCTGGGCACCGTGCTTGCGTGTGGGTACTGGGCAGAAGTGGGCCTCCGCACTGAGGCCTGCGGTGCCCGTGTCCTGAGTGGACAGAAGTGGGCCTCCGCACTGAGGTCTGCGGTGCCCATGTCCTGAGTGAGCAGAAGTGGGCCTCCGCACTGAGGCCTGCAGTGCCCGTGTCCTGAGTGGGCCTCCGCACTGAGGCCTGTGGTGCCCGTGTCCTGAGTGGACAGAAGTGGGCCTCCGCACTGAGGCCTGCGGTGCCCGTGTCCTGAGTGGGCCTCCGCACTGAGGCCTGCGGTGCCCGTGTCCTGCGTGCCCGCTGGCTTCCCTGGAAGGGTGTGAGGGCCGTCTCTTGGCTGTCACTTGGTGCCGTGTGTCCCACTAGGATGTGTCTGGTTACGTCTAGATTTCTAAGCTGGAAGAATCCCTCAGGAAGCTGGTGCTACAGATAGAACAGCTGCAGAGGTGAGGTTCCCTCAGTGCACATCGGGGCCGCCTCTGTGGCCGCCGTCTCTCTGCAGGTAGGACCTTGGGCGTACGTACCTGTTCCAGAGACTTCTGTCCAACCAGAAATGGTGTGGGAAAGCCTTGGGGATGACAGAGACCAAAAAAAAAAAAAAAAAAGGACAAGAGATGAGTGGTTGTCCTGGGACAGGTCGGGGGTGGGGGAGGGGAAGGCGAGTGACCACAGCCTGAGAGCCACTGAAAGGTGAGTCTGCATGTTCTGCTTGGTAGGGCTCCACAGTGCGGAGGCAATGGATTGTGGGAAGACACCAAAATTGCCAGAATTAACCTAACACGGTGGCCAGCAGAGTATTGCATGTCAGTGCTGGGCGGTGTAGCCTGCGGCTCCGCTCAGCTTGTTCCCACCCATTCCAGCTCAGCAGGTGTTGCTCTGGTCCTCCGTTTGGACGTGTCTGTGGTCCTGGACTGTGTGGTTGCTACCACACCACAGCTCGGTCAGCAGTGATGCACAGAGACTGTGTCTTTACGTTGAAGCCACAGTCCCAGCTTGGTGGTTGCACGTGGACACAAAGGCCGAGAGGCCCACAGCCCTGACTGCTGCTGTTCCCCCAGGTTGCACGTCAGGGGTGCCTGCTTCCCTGTTCCTCCTGGCGCTAAGTGTGGCTGGGTTGGCGCTGCAGGCCTGGGCCACGCTGGTTGGTGGCCCTGCTGTTGACACGTCGGGGTGAGAAGGCCCCTTCCAGCTGCTGTGTGTCTGTTGTATGACCAGGTCCTCCAGTAGTCAGTGGACTCCAGGCCACATCCAGCCTGGAGTACACCCTCTTCTGGGCCCTAGCTCAGCAGGTGTTTACGGTGGTCAGGGACACAGCAGGCACCGAGCATATGTGGTGAGTGGAGCCACAGCACCCACAGGTGCGCAGGGTACGTAGCAGTGTGGAGTTGCGTTTGTGTATTCTTCTTCGTTTGCTTACTTTCTATGGACTCATGTATCTTTGATTTCATTTACCATTTCTAGACTGTTCCTGCTAAATTTCTGCTGCAACGCCATTGCTTGCTGTTGTGTCTCCATCTTTATTTAGGCTTTTCACTGGCAGTGTCTCCACTTTCCACATCTGACACCCTTAGGAATCTGCTCTGACTTCTGCCCTCTGCTGTCCCTTGAGGAAAGGGTCCTTTCTCATGGGGTCAGCGACCGGGCTGAGGGCCAGGAAGGAGCTCAGTGCACCCCAGTTCTCCTCAGGAGGCACATGTGCTGTGTGTCCCAGTCACCCAGTTCTCAGGGGACCCATGTGCTGTGCGTCCCAGTCACCCAGTTTTCCTCAGGGGGCCCATGTGCTGTGCGTCCCAGTCACCCAGTCCTCAGGAGGCCCATGTGCTGTGTGTCCCAGTCACCCAGTCCTCAGGGGACCCATGTGCTGTGCGTCCCAGTCACCCAGTCCTCAGGGAGCCCATGTGCTGTGCGTCCCAGTCACCCAGTCCTCAGGGGGCCCATGTGCTGTGTGTCCCAGTCACCCAGTCCTCAGGGAGCCCATGTGCTGTGTGTCCCAGTCACCCAGTTCTCAGGGAGCCCATGTGCTGTGTGTCCCAGTCACCCAGTCCTCAGGGGACCCATGTGCTGTGCGTCCCAGTCACCCAGTCCTCAGGGAGCCCATGTGCTGTGTGTCCCAGTCACCCAGTCCTCAGGGAGCCCATGTGCTGTGCGTCCCAGTCACCCAGTCCTCAGGGGGCCCATGTGCTGTGTGTCCCAGTCACCCAGTCCTCAGGGGGCCCATGTGCTGTGCGTCCCAGTCACCCAGTCCTCAGGGAGCCCATGTGCTGTGTGTCCCAGTCACCCAGTCCTCAGGGAGCCCATGTGCTGTGTGTCCCAGTCACCCAGTCCTCAGGGGGCCCATGTGCTGTGTGTCCCAGTCACCCAGTCCTCAGGGAGCCCATGTGCTGTGTGTCCCAGTCACCCAGTCCTCAGGGAGCCCATGTGCTGTGTGTCCCAGTCACCCAGTCCTCAGGGAGCCCATGTGCTGTGTGTCCCAGTCACCCAGTCCTCAGGGGGCCATGTGCTGTGTGTCCCAGTCACCCAGTCCTCAGGGAGCCCATGTGCTGTGTGTCCCAGTCACCCAGTCCTCAGGGGACCCATGTGCTGTGCGTCCCAGTCACCCAGTCCTCAGGGAGCCCATGTGCTGTGTGTCCCAGTCACCCAGTCCTCAGGGAGCCCATGTGCTGTGTGTCCCAGTCACCCAGTCCTCAGGGGGCCATGTGCTGTGTGTCCCAGTCACCCAGTCCTCAGGGGGCCCATGTGCTGTGTGTCCCAGTCACCCAGTCCTCAGGGGGCCATGTGCTGTGTGTCCCAGTCACCCAGTTCTCGGGGGGCCCTTGTGCTGTGTGTCCCAGTCAGACACTGATTCTCCTTGGGGGAACCCATGTATTGAGTGCACCCAGTCAGTGATCCACTTCTCCTCGGGGGGCCCACGTGCTCTGTGCACCCAATTACCCAGTTCTTGGGGGTGACCCTGGTGCTCTGCCAACTGGGCTCACTCCCCCTGTAGCACTGTTGTCCACCCTACCCTGTCTTGGTAAGGCTGGGCTTTCAGAGCAGCGTTTGCTGTGCTGTGGTTAGTCCCACCCGTTTCTCATTGCTGTCTTGGAGCAAAAGGGCTTGGAGACTGATGCTGCCCCCGAGCCCAGGGCGGAAGGACACATGTGCTAGCCTGCATGGGCAGGTGTGTGTGGCCTCCATGGTCAGCCGCTGGCTCTGGGCTCTGGCGTGTGGCCAAGTTCCTGTCCTCGGGGAGCTTCTTTGTGCTGGGAGACAGAGCTTGAGCTTAATGCCAGGCAGGGACACTTGCTGTGGGAGCTGAGGAGAGCCCTGGGAGGGTGGCTTGAGAGCAGGCCTGGATCCCGGAGCTGTCGCACAGCCACCTGTGTGCAGCCAGCATGAGCCACCCCAGATAGGCTGAGGGCCGGCTCTCCTGTACTGAGGACTTCCGTGTCCACCCCATAGGTGGTGCTCAGCACCGCAGCCCTCACACACCATCAAGCCTTCATGTGTGTTGGTGAAAATGGAGAGGCTTTGTCCATGTTTGCGTGCCCAGCCCAGCATACCCGTCATGCCTGTGCTGGGGTCCGGGCCTCAGGCCCTGGGCATGGCCAGCCTGGCTACCTGCTGTTGTGGAGACAATCCTAGGGCTTTGCTGGACCAGGAGAAATGATCAAGCGACGTGTCCCCATCTGTCTTGTGGTCCTTTAATGCCCATGTGTGGTGGCCCCATCTTCCCGTCTTCATTCCACACCCTGGCAGCCGCAGCTGTGCTGGTGGCTCCAGGGACCCCATGCTGCTTTCAGAGTTGGGCAGGACAGGGCCGTCGGATGCCAGAGGCTTTTGGGAACTGGATGTCCGGGATTGCCCTCTCGTGACCCAGTAAGGCCATCTCAGGTGGAATGCAATGGGAAGGCTGTTGTTCTGTGTAAGTCAGTGCCTTTTCTCCATCTATTTAGTGTGAGATCTTCACAGCAAACAGCCTTCGGCACAGTTAGGACGTCAGTGCCCCGTAAGTAGACCTGTGCTGCCTAGGGGCTGTGCATACAGGAGCAGCCACGCCCACGCCAGCTCACTAACACCCAGCTCTGTTGCAGCCGCTCCAGCCCGGCCCAGGGGGTGCCTGCTGCTGCCCACGGGCTCATCGGCCCCTGACAGGTGTGTGGGTCTGGGGGTGGCCTAAGGGTGTGAACACCACAGGACCCTCAAGTCCTACCCAGGGACCCTTCCACGTTCCTCCTCATCCCGTTCCCCCCTCCAGACCCATTTCCCACAATGAAGACCTGGCTCCCTTGGGTGCCTACGTCCCCATGAGGTGGGTGTTTAGGCTGGCAAGCCCGACCAGTCCATTCCTATGGCCACAGTGACTGACTCCGGAATGTTATGTGGCCCAGTGTCTCTAGAGCCCCAGCTAAGTTGGGGTTCCAGTGCAGGAGCAGCCAGCAACCCTGCCCACCGGGGAAGGGAGGACGTGGCAGAGGTGTGCACAGTGTGCCTCTCGCAGGGTGTCTCGCCTGGCGGCGGCTTCGCTGTGTCCTCCCCAGCATCCCAGGATGTGCGGGGGAGCCTGGGGCAGCCCTGCTTGCTCCTAGGGAAGCACACGTTCACTGCATCCCTGCAGCAGGAAGCCCGGTCACGGACTTGGAGCCTTCAGCTCCTGGCTGGGAGCCCGGACCGAAACCTCAGGCAGGACCTGGGGCCAGTGCCTTTGTTAGGCCCCGGTGTTAGCCAGGTGGGTTTCCCACAGGGAGTTTTGTTGGTGGGTGCAGAACACACACAAGTTCCTCGGCTGTGCAGGAGGTGGTCCTTCAGCACACGTGCAGTCCACGTGGGGAGGGGCCGGGGCCAGTCCAGCGGCCACTGTGCCTGTCCCATAGGGAGGTTGTGGCAGGAGGCAGTGCTGTAAGACAAGGGCCGAGTCAGTCCCCCCGAGGATCCGGGAGGAGGCAGAACTGTGTCAGAGGGGACTGAGCCTGCTTCTAGCGCAGGAAGGCTGAGCTCATACTCAGAGTGCCAGCTGAGACGGCACAGAGCTGCAGCATTCTCTGCCTGGTCCCAGAACTGGGGCTCTCCTGTGACGTCCCTGGCACAAGGATGGCCACCAGGTCCACAAGGTGTTTCCCTGCCAGCTTCTGCTGATGCCCGGGTCAGCGCGTGGGGGCCTTGCTGGTGCCACAGATGTGTGTTGACAGAGCGAGGTGTGCCCCACTCAGGAGGCGTAGCCCAGCGGCTCCAGGCAGGAGTTAGAGCTGAGTGGTAACAGGCAGACGGGGTCTGTGGGAGCAGATGGAGCATGGGAACAGCCCCGGGAAGTGGTCTGGCTCTGCCGGCAGAGGGAGAAGTGTTTGGGAGGGGAAGTGGCAGTAGCTGGGGCTGAAACCAGGAAGTTCTGACAGCGCCACAGGCAGGCGCAGAGGAGGGCGTGACGCAAGTCTCACTTTGTGTTTGCAGGGTGGAGTCCATGGAGGTTGACCTTACCCCTTCTCCAGTGAGAAGAGTAAGTGCTTTTCCATACACGGGTGCTTGCATGATGGGTGCAGCTCCTGGGGGTGGGGAATGGATATGAGCAAGATTCCATCACTGCCTGATGCTGGGCGAGTGCGAGCAGAGGGCTGGGGAGGTGCCTGTGGTGTCCCCGCCTTGGCTACGGTTCTGAGAAGGCGCAGAACGATGCTGTCCCCTGAGGGCATTTCAGGCATGGAAAGCCAAGACACTGTGGCAAAAAATGACCTACATGAAAGATCTCTGTGAGTGAGAGCCCAGTGGAAAGAAGGGGCCATCAAGGAAGGAGGTACCTTTCTCTGAAGGGAAGAGAGAACTTCCACTTTGACTATGGCCCTGTCTAAATAAGGTTGGAGTTTGTGAACTCAAGAGGCTTCCATAGCCTTGGCAGCTCATGACAAGAGCCTCAGGAGATCACTGACGTCATAAATAAGAGAGTCAATTGTTAAATCAACAACGGGAGTCACTGTGCACTTGCTCCCCATGTAGGTCCTCTGTCCTTAATGAGTTGTACTATGAGAATTAATGGTAAAACTAGTACTCAAACAGTACTTTATACTTTGTGTGTCTGTGTGGGTGAAAACTGTTGAAATCTTTACTTAGTGTAGAGCTGGTCTTCTGTATATAAAGACAATTAAAAATGAACCTTAATGAAGAATGGAATGGGAGAGTAGGAGGTAGGATGGGAGTGAGGGTGGGAGAGCGGGAATAGGGGGAAGAACCACTATATTCCTAAAAGCCACTATATTCCTAAAAATACATATGAAATTTGTATTCATTAAATAAAAACCTCCTAAGAAAAAAAGAAACAATACTGAAGAAAGAGCCGGTGGCCCCGTCCAGCCCAGGAAAAGGAACTGGGCAGAGATGGAGGCGGAGAAACAGCATAACGCCTTCCATGTTCGAGAGCACCTGTCCTGGAGGAAGTCTGGTCAACACCCAGGGGCCCCAGCCCAGGCCTGGCACCGGCCCAGTGCTCACAGGCTAGAGAGCACCCAGGATGCCCTGGGCCCCGGGGAGGGGAGTTCAGAGACTGTGGGGATGTGGTGCCTGTTTGTGTAGGCTATTTAATGAATGGTGCATGTGTCCGTGCGAGTTGAATGTGGTGTGTATATGTGTGTGTGTGTGTGTCCATGTGAGTTATATAAGGGGTGTGTTTCCATGTTATATAAGGGGTAGTGTGTGTGTGTGTGTGTTTCCATGTGAGTTGAGGTGTATGCATGTGTGAGTGTGGTACATGTGTATTAAGGAACGTGTGAGCTGAGTGTGGTGCTTGTGTGTCCGTGTGAGTTATATAAAGGGTAGTATATGTGTGTGTGTGTGTGTCCATGTGAGTTGAGGTGTATGCATGTGTGAGTGTGGTGTGTGTGTGTGTGTGTGAGTGTGGTACATGTGTATTAAGGAATGTGTGTGTGTGAGTTGAGTGTGGTGCTTGTGTGTGAGTGTGGTGTGTGTGTGAGTTGAGTGTGGTGCGTGTGTGTCCATGTGAGTTGAGTGGTGTGTGTGTGAGTTGAGTGTGGTGCATGTGTGAGAGTTGAGTGTGGTGCATGTGAGTTGAGTGTGGTGTGTATGTGTCCATGTGAGTTGAGTGTGGGGTGTGTGTGTGTGTGAGTTGAGTGTTTTGTATGTGTGTGAGTTGAGTGTGGTGCGTGTGTGTGTGTGTGAGTCAAGTGTAGTGTGTGTGTTGAGTGTGGTGCATGTGTGTCCATGTGAGTTGATTGTGGTGCGTGTGTGTGAGTTGAGTGTTTTGTATGTGTGTGAGTTGAGTGTGGTGCGTGTGTGTGTGTGTGAGTCAAGTGTAGTGTGTGTGTTGAGTGTGGTGCATGTGTGTCCATGTGAGTTGAGTGTGGTGCATGTGTGTGTGTGTTGAGTGTGGTGCACGTGTGTCCATGTGAGTTGAGTGTGGTGTGTGTGTGTGAGTTGAGTGTGGTGTGTGTGTGTTCGTGAGTTAATGCTCACACCCGTAGTGCACCTGTTTGTGAGCTGTGTCTGCACTTGGTGTTTTTGGCTCAGTCTTGGGTCCCGATGAGGCAGACCCTGCGCTGCGGCTGTGTCAGTGAGGAGCGTGCCCCCTCCCCTCCAGGGGTCCCAGGAACCTGGAGTCTGAGAGGAGAAGGCAGTGACAGCCTCTCCCCCCTCCCTGGGAGGAGAAACCTGAGTTCTGAGCTCCTCCCCCTGCCCAGCCCCACGGTGTGGCAGAGGTGCGGACGCTGGGCTGTCAGACCGGGCCGGGTGATTTCTAGAGCAGGGGGCTTTCGTACCAGGTGGGCACATGGCTTGACGACGAGGTGTCCGGGGCCTGGCCTGGCCCATCCTGCTGCAGGAGGCCAGGTGACGCAGGGCCGGATGGGTACAGAGTGCTGGTGGCTCCTGACCAGGACCCACCCTGGCCTGCTCTCTTCGGCGTGGTCCCCTGTCCTGGGCAGTCGGCCTCTTGGAATCGTTTTTGCTTCTGCTGTTGCTAGATTCTCCCCTAGACAGGGGACTGGGAAACTGACCCAACAAATAAAACATCTGTGAGAAGCTGGGTTAGAGGTGATTTACCTCGCCCAGCCATGCGTGTTTTCTCCTTCAAGTTTTTTTTTTTTTTAAGATTTATTTATTTATTTGAAAGTCAAAGTTACACAGATAGAGAAGGAGAGGCAGAGAGAGAGAGAGAGAGAGAGAGAGGGAGGTCTTCCATCCGCTGGTTCACTCCCCAATTGGCCTCAACAGCCAGAGCTCTACCAATCAGGAGCCAGGAGCCTATTCCGGGTCTCCCATGCAGGTGCAGGGGTCTAAGCACGTGGGCCATCTTCCACTGCTTTCCCAGGCCATAGCAGAGAGCTGAATCGGAAGTGGGGCAGCCGGGACTCGAACTGGTGCCCATATGGGATGCTGGCACTGCAGGTGGCAGCTTTACCCGCTACGCCACAGCACCAGCCCCACTCCTTCAAGTTTTAAGTAAAGTGTCGACTGGTTGTGGTTCACAGAGTCCTTATCTGCCCGGCAGTGGTCTCTGGAACAGCAGGAGGTGGGAGTTGGGCTGGAGAGGAGCTGGTCTGAACCCCAGCTTTCCACAGGGGCCTGTAGCTCGAGCCCACCTGTGGTCACTTCCATTGCCACAGTGACCCAACCCCAGCAGGGCGGGGGCACAGGCCAGGGTGCGTGGATGTGCGAGGGCTGCTTGCTCTTGAGCTGTGGGACATGGCTCAGAGGGGAGGGTGCTTCTGGCGAGCTGTGTGCAGTGAGGGCTTGCTGGGGAGAGGGAGCTGTGGAACCAGGCCCAGCTGTCGCGGACAGCAGGGCTGCGGGGTGTGTGAGTATGTGAGTGGACGTATCTGCGTCAGGTGGACGGGGAGAGTTGAGACAAGGTGGGACCTCCAGGGAGCAGCCTTCCTGGCAGCACCAGGCCGTGTGCATCTCAGCAGCTCCAGGAGTCAGCTCGGGAGAGCAGCCGGTCCCTCTGCGGGCAGAGCTGAGGACGGACAGGGCCGGGTCAAGGGCATCACAGGGGTGCCCTGGAGTGAGTGGAGAGGCCTCAGGGACATGGTCCCATGGTGTGCCCTTCCTGGTGAGCCTGCCCGTGGGAGTGGGGGAAGGGCGCTGGGAAGACAGGCCAGTGACGGAGAGGCGAGGCCCGGAGGACTCCAAAAGGGGTGCACAGACTCCCGGGCCACACCGAGCAGTGAGAGGAGTGGCCGTGGCCCGGCCTCGTGACCTGGGAGCAGGACAGCTGCGCTGGTCCATCTGGCACTGAGGAAAGGGTTTCCTCGCGACCCCCCAGGTTCTTAGCCCCTCCGGGGGCCTTTGCCTGTGCGTGTTTGGGCCCAGTGGGATCCTGACCCACCTGCTCTTTCTTGCAGCCTCAGCCCGAGGTGGCAGCCGGCCCCACGCGGATGTCTCTGATTAGCCCACCTCAAGATGGGCGCATGGGTGAGTTCAGCACACGCTAAACCCCCCCCCCCCCCCCCCAGACAGCCTGTTCCCGGGAGCGTCCTCCAGCCGGGCCGGGGCAGGAGGCTGCATGGTTACCCAGGGATGCAGCTGGGGTCACAGGTCATGGAGGAAGCAGCCGTGCATTGTGCCCCCTGCCCCGGCTTTAACAAGGTGCTACCAGCTTGGCCGGGCCATTTGCACAGGGAGTGCCCAGCGCCCACTGTCCCTGCTGCCTCTCCTGAAGCCCACAGCTTCCAGCTCTCCCCAGGTGGACGTGACAGGCCGCTGCCTCGGCCCAAGGTACTCAGAGGGCACAGCCCTGGGGGTAGGTGGGAGTACTGGGAACGCCCTGCCTTCCCCCTGCACTCCACACGTCCTCGCTGGCTCGCCCGGCTGTGTTTCTGGAAGGTCCCAAGACGGTGTGAGCCGTTGACAGGCTCAGTGTGTGCTGATGAGTCCCCCCGTCGGGGCTGTCCTCCCCCACGTGTGTCACAGGCAGAGTGTGTTCTCACCGGCTGGGAGGGAAGGGCGATCACAGACTGTAACCCTATGGCATGTGCATGAGCGTTTGGCTGTGCCCGTGCCGAGTCTCTCCTTCTCTGTTCTTTGTCTTTACCCAGCTTTCTTGGTGCTTTGCATTCTTTTCTTTAAAAAAAGAAAGATTTATTTATTTGAGAGGCAGAGTTACAGAGAGAGAGAGAGGGAGAGACAGAGAGGTCTCCATCTGCTGGTTTACTCTCTAAATGGCTGCAACAGCTGGAGCTGGGCAGATCTGAAGCCAGGGGTCAGGAGCTTCTTCCGGGTCTCCCACTCCCTTTGGAGTGGGTTAATCTAGGGGTTAAGATGCTTTCAGCCCACGTGGGAGACCTGCATACAACAGCTCTGGCTCCTGGCACCAGCTTCCTGCTAATGCAGACCCTGGGGGTGCCGCTCAGTCCAGCCCTGGCCTTCCCAGGCATTTGGGGGACAAGCCAGTGAACGGGGCCTATTGTGCATGCGTGTGTGCGTCCTCTGTCTCTCTCTCAAATCAACTTAAATTCTAAACTCCCATAGCTGCCTTAGCCACCCCCCAAAATAACAAGGTCACGCTCCGCACAGTACTGGGGTTCAGTGTCCGCCAGGGTCACAGTCTCTGCACCCACCATGCAGAGCCTGCGTGTGCACGAGCCACGTCTATGTCGTCCCCCAGTCGCCTTCAGACGGCACTAGCCCCGCACACTCTGCCTCTCGTCCTTGGGAGTTGTCATGAACATTGACCTTGGGTTCCCAGGTGTGACCCGCAGCCAGCTTGGCAGCCAGAACTCACGGGCAGAGACGCACTGTGCTCGGTGTGGCTCCCACGTGGGCACCAGTCGTCACCCCCAACACTCACGTGTCACCCCCAGCGCTCCTGTGACGTGAGTTGAGTGGCAGCCTCAGAGTGGGTTTTGTGTTTTCTTTTTCTTTCTCTCTCTCTCTCTTTTTTTTTTTTTTTTTTTTTGACAGGCAAAGTGGACAGTGAGAGAGAGAGACAGAGAGAAAGGTCTTCCTTTGCCGTTGGTTCACCCCTCAATGGCCACTGCGGCCGGCGCACTGTGCTGATCTGAAGGCAGGAGCCAGGTGCTTCTCCTGGTCTCCCATGGGGTGCAGGGCCCAAGCACTTGGGCCATCCTCCACTGCACTCCCTGGCCACAGCAGAGAGCTGGCCTGGAAGAGGGGCAACCGGGACAGAACCGGCACCCCGACCGGGACTAGAACCCGGGGTGCCGGCGCTGCAGGCGGAGGATTAGCCTAGTGAGCCGCGGTGCTGGCCAGGTTTTGTGTTTTCACAATTCCTTCTGCATGAGGAGCTCTCCATGCTCCCCAGTGTGGATTCACGCATTCAGCATGTGTGACGGGGGACTAAGGATTTCTGTTTTGTTCAGTGGGCTCTGTTCTCCGCTCAGGTTGTCCCAGATGTGGTCCTGGGTGACGTGCTTTTAAAAGCGTCATCCGGGAGTTCTGTACACAGGGGGTTAGCATTTTAAGATGAGGACAGAGATACTCGCCGAGTCACAGAAGCAGAGCAGCCCCACCCACAAGAGATGCCGCGGGGGACCATGCGGCCGCCACGCCCCCCGGCCTCGCTGGGAGCGGCCAGTGTGCAGGCCACAGAGCACGGCTGCTTGCCCTGTCCTCCTCTCTGCGTCACAACCGGCTACAGCCCTGTCTGCTCAGGCTGTAAGTTGAGGCGAGCAGGAGGGGCAGAGTGTCGCCTCCACTGGAGAGGCTTGCTCTGAGCAGTCGCAGCAGCTGCTCTCCTAAACCTCAGCTGAGAAAACGCACTGAACACTCAGGCTGATGGACAGGCGTGTGGCTACCCGTGACACCCGCACCCCACATTGGAGCCTTGGGGCCGGAGTCCTGGCTGCTCTGCTCACTCCCCGCTCCCTGTTCAGGGTCTGGGAAGCAGCAGAAATGGCCAAGCACTTGGGCCCCTGCACCCACTCAAGAGACCTGGCTGGAGTTCTAGGCTCCTGCTGCTGCCTGGCCCCACTCTAGCCTTTGAAGCCATGTTGAGTGTGTCTCTCCCCCCACTCTGTCACTCTGCCTTTCAAATAAATAAGTCTTTATAGATAAGGCCTCTGGAGGTACCCAAGTTAAGGGGGCCATGAGGGTGTCCTCCCAAGAGGAGACTTGCGGGGATGCTTTGCTGGCTTCTGTGTCGTGCCCAGTGACCTTCTCTCCACAGGTGCTCACTGTCAGGCCACACGCAGCTGCATGGCCCATGCACGGTGGGCTCCCTCTCCCTCCAGGCAGTCTCCCGGGTTGGTAGCCTTTGGGGAAGGAGCTGCTCTGTATCCCAGACCGCAAAACAGACCCCGTGGAAAATCTGGTCTGTGCTGCTGCTCTTCAGAACGGTGTCCTCTTGGGACTTGACCCTGCTGTCCGTGGGGCTCAACCTTTGGGGCTGGAGAGCCCTGGGGCACGCTTGGCCTTCAGGCTGCTGCCACCCACATGGGCCTCAGTGACCTCACCCTGCTGTTGGCGGGTCTCACCAAGCTCGAAAGGAGAGCCTGAGAAGCCGCCAGCCGACTCTCCCGGCCCTGCCACCGCTGCCACTTGTGGGTCTGTGCATTCAGATGTGCCTTGGTTTTGTTTTAAGATTTATTAAGGAGACAGGAGAAGACAGAGAGAGAGAGATCTTCATCTGCTGCTTCACTCCCCGAATGGCCAGAACAGCCAGACCTGGGCCAGGCCGAAGCCAGGAGCCAGGAGCTCCATCTGGGTCTCCCACATGGGTACAGGGGCCCAAGCACGTGGGCCATCTTCCACTGCTTTCTCAGGTGCATTAGCAGGGAGCTGGATCAGAAGTGGAGCAGCTGGGACTTGCTAGTGCTTGTATGGGACACCATTGTCACAGGCGGCTGCTAACCTGCTGGGCCACAGCACCTGCCACAAGAGAGGACGCTTTCCCCCATGCTTCCCCTGTGGTGGCGGCTAGCTGGGTGGGTGCCAGCTCAGGGCAGAGGGCAGGGGGTCTGTGGAGAGGCAGGTGTGCAGGCCAGTCCTTTGGGATTCTGTGTGTGAACCCCACACCGGTCCTGGGTGATGAGGCAGAGAGTGCTGCCCCCCGAAGCCTGAGACGGGTGCAGGTGCAGCTTGGGGTCAGGATGTGGCAGGCACTGGTTCCCCTCAGAGGCCAGCTCACGGATACCTTGTCTGGGGACAAGCTCTCCCCGGCGGGCAGGACCAGCAAGGCCCTCGCACAACAGAGTCAGCCAGGATCAATGCAGCCTGGGAGCAGGCGCCTGACCCCTCTGCAGTGTCTTCAGAGGGTCCTTGCAGGCTCAGGGCCACACGAGGCTCTGCCCACACCCCACACCAGCCCAGGGCTGGGGAAATGCCATCGGAGTCCCACGTGGAGGGAGCTGGAATGGCTTGTCCCACCCTCCCAGCGTCCAGGGAAGACGTGCTCCAAGTACAGCGCCTGCTGCTGACCACCATGCCCAGGGCCGCAGGAGGTGGCCACAGCTCCAGCACCCTGTGGGGCCGGAACTCAGCACCCTGACCCTTCCAGGTGTCCTCTGAGTGGCGGCGATGCATGTGGACACTGCTGTGCTCCCTGGGCTGTGGGGGTAGGGGAGTGGACCGGTGGGTCAGGGTCCCGCCTGTCACTGGCCTCAGCGGGGGAGTGGACCCAGCAGGTACACTAGGTCGTCCTTAGCACCACAAAGGGTTAATACAAAGGATGGGTTTGTGCCCCACAGGCAGCGTCTCCTACCGGGGCCTTCAGCATCTTGGCCTGACACCACATCAGACACACCTGTCGAAGGCATTCAGGTAATGCCCTGTGTTCTCCTTTAAGGAAAGGCAGGGGCGGGGGTGGCCTGAAACGCCCGTGTCCCATGTGGGCCCTGATCTGCTTCTGATCCAGCTCCCTGCTGGTGGCCTGGGAAGGGCAGTGCAGCAGTTGGGGTGTGTGTGGCCTGAGTGTTTGGGCCGCTGCCACCCATGTGAGAGACCAGAAAGGACTTCAGCCCGGCCCAGCCCTGGCTGCTGCAGCCATCTGGGGAGCAGGCCAGTGGATGGAGAATCAGTCAGTCAATCTCTCGCTCTCTGACTCAAATAGATAAATTATTCTTAGAAAAGAAGAAAAAAAGAAAATGCCAAGTTCAGCCACACTGCAATTTCACATCACAGCCAGCCTTTAAAAACAATTATTGGAAAGAGTCTCAGAGAGCTGTTGGCACCTGCTGCTTCCCTCCCCAAATGGCCGCAACAACCAGGTGGGCCAGGCCAGAGCCAGGAGCCAGGGGCTCCGTGCAGGTCTCCCACATGGGTGCAGGGGCCCAAAGACTGAGGCCCCTGTCTGCTGCCCAAGGTGCATTAGCAGGGAGCCGGGTCAGAAGCAGAGCTGCCGGGACTCCCGCCCTGGCACTCCACACCCCCGTGCCACAGCCCCTGCCCAGCACAGCCTCGGTACACACCAGCTCATGGTGAACTGACACCAGAAGCTGCCAGTGTGCGAGTGGGGGTCGCTTCCTCATCCTACTTTGAGGTGTTTAGGTGAGTCCATGTAAACCATTGCATTTTGTTTCTGACTGAAAGTCTGCGAACTCCGGGAGGACCTTCCTTGGCTCTGTGGCATCTAGGCACAGGAGCAGGTTTCTGTGGCGCTGCCGCTGGGCTTGGCGTGGCGCAGAGGAGGCAGGCGGTGGCGCCTCACTAGGCAGGCGTGGCCCAGCCTCGGCAGCCCTCGCTCGCTGCTCCCCGCTGACCGCTGACCGCTGACCGCTACGCACAGTCAGCAGAGCTCCTCGGCTTTCTCCAGAGCGGACGGCAGACTCTGCCCCCATGAGCTTCTGCCTGGAGCCAGGCGTGGCCACCCACCCAGCTCACCCAGCCCCTGCCCATCCTGACCACCTGCCATGGCCAGGAGCCTTTTCTGGGCCCCCGGTGGGGACAGCCCCGCTCCCTTCGCTGCCCTCTCTGGCCCCAGGCACCCTCTGTCCCCTCTGCCAACTGCATGGACCCACACTGGGAGCCTGCGGCTGGGTCTCGGCAAGGCAGAGTGAGTGGCGTGTGCAGGGCTGGGAGCCTGGGGTTGTGCAGTCAGGTACGTGGACCTGAGCTGAGATGGCTGGCATGGGGGTACGGGGGGAGGGCCGTGCGGAGGCAGGAACACAGAAGCCTGGGCACAAACCAGCACCTTGCTTCCTGAGGGCAGTGCAGTCCCTGCAGTGTCAGCCTCCCTAGGTAGCTCCAAGCCCTGCTCCAGGGCAGTAGGGGTGGGTGGGGCAGGGGCAGGGGCAGCGTGGGGAGCAGCGCATCCAGCATCAGCCAGGCCACTGCAGGGCAGAAAATAGACTGGTTTACTGAGGGGCGACACAGTCCTCGAGGAAGGCCACCAGAGGAACGCTCACTTGGAGGCTGAAGCTGCCGGGTGTTTGCCTGAGCTTCCTTTAGACCCCTTAAGCACATGCACTTGAAAGTGTTTTTGCACCAGGATAAACCTAGCTTTACTTCCTTTCTACCAGCCCTTGAAGTCCCCTGGTGCAGTGGTCCCTCGTGCGGTGACCCCGATGCTGTGGTCCCTGGTGCAGTAGACAAGTTAGCCAGCTGGTGAGCCATGGCCCTGGGTGAGCCTACGCCTGGTGGCTTTGTTGCCTGTGGGGGTTGGTGAGGCCACCACACAGCCTCCAGGCCCTTCCTGGTGCCAAGGACAAGGTAGACCAGCTATGGTTGGAGCAAGGAGCCCTTGGGGTCAGAGGAAGCCAAGCAGCAGGTCCCGGACACAGGGTCAAAAGGTCAGCAGAGACCCTGGACGCCCCCACTATTCCCCCTCAGCTGCTGCTCAGCGCTGACCCTGGGGAGAGGTGCAGGTGGAAGTCGTGGCTTGGTCAGCTCCACACGGAGGCAGGATCCAGCGGGCAGTGCTGACCGGAACAGGCGGCGCCCTCCTGGGGTCCTGCTAGCCCCAGTTCCAGGCTGGGGTCGGGCAGCGCTGGGCACACAGCTGCTGCTCGCGCTGGCCCTGGGCACTGGGAATGTGCCTCTGACTGGACAGGCCCGCAGACCCCACGGGCAGTGTGTGAGCTGTGGGGCCTCTGACTTCATGTTGTTGCGCCCCAGGATCCCACCGTTGCAGATCCCCCACAAGGGACCCACACAGACCCCAGCAGCCCAGGCAGCGGGCAGAGCAACGAGAGGAGGCTCCCCTGGCCTCGGTGGCTCCCAGGCGGCAGCGCCCAGGCCGCCCATCAGCATCTCCGGCCTGCTGCATAGGCCGTGCCCAGGCAAGTGTCCAAGGCCCGGCGTGCGTCCAGTGTCTATACTCGTCTAAGCTAACGGACTCCCCCCAGCGTATGCTTTTAATTTGGCGTTTGTGTTCTCACCGTCCTCCCAGTGTGAAATTCTGGAGCCTTCTGGAAGACAGAACTAACACCCCCACGCTTCCCGCAGGGTCTGCTCACCACAGGGGAGTCACACAGAGAAGATGAGCCCCAGCAGGTGTACCCTGGATGGTTTCTTCCTCCAGGTGCCACTAAGTCATGTGACCGCATAGTTACTTCTCGGGTTACCTGGGGCAGCACAAACGTGATATGCTTGAAACTGCTCTTCTTACTGCCTTACAATGAGTGCCCACACGTGGCCGGCGCTGTGGCCTGCAGCACCTGCATCCCAGTGGGCGCCGGTTCGAGTCCCGGCTGCTCCTCTTCCAATCCAGCTCTCTGCTGTGGCCTGGGAAAGCGGTAGAAGCTCCTGGCTTTGGCCTGGCCCTGCACTGGTCATTGTGGCCATCTGGGGAGTGAACCAGCAGGTGGAAGATTCTGTCTCCTGCTCTCTCTCTGTAACTCTGCCTTTCAAATGAATAAGTAAATCTTTTTAAAAAATGAGTGCCAAATGCTGATTCCTGCTGTGGGGGGAGATAGGCCTGCTGCACGGGTGAGCGCTGGCATGGCCACCGTGGCGGGAGGATTTCCTCCGAGACAGGCTGCACCTGAGCACACCTCACAGGTGTGGAGCGGCTCCTCGGGCAGGGGCATTAGCAGGGAGCAGAGCAGCTGGGACCCCCATGGGGGGCGCTGGGACCCAGGCGGCAGCCTAACCAGCTGCACCACAGCACTCACCCCTCACCTTGCTTTCTCAAACGTGGGTTTATGGGGGCTGGCGCTGTGGGATAGTGGGATAAGGCTCCACGTATGGTGCTGGCATCCCATGTGGGCACTGGTTCAGGTCCTGGCTGCTCCACTTCCCATCCAGCTCTCTGCCATGGCCTGGGAAAGCAGTAGAAGGTGGCCCAAGTCCTTGGGCCCCTGCACCCATGTGGGAGACCCGGAAGAAGCTCCTGGCTCCTGGCTTTGGATTGGCACAGCTCCAGCTGTTGTGGCCATCTGGGGAGTGAACCAGCAGATGAAAGAACTCTCTCTCTCTGCTTCTGCCTCTCTCTAACTCTGCCTCTTAAATAAATCCATCTTTAGTATATGTGCTGCCGAAGTGAGCACAATAAATCAGTCTTTAAAAAAAACCAACATTGATTTATTTACTTGAAAAGGCGGAGAGAGAGACATCTTTCATCCACTGGTTCACTCCACAAATGGCCACAACAGCCAGGGCTGGGCCAGGCCGAAGCCAGGAACTCCCATCAGGGTCTCCCACGTGGGTGCAGGTGCGCAGGGAGCCGCACTGGAAGTGGAGCAGCCGAGGGGTTGGGGGGAACTGGCTGACGAGGACGCGGTGTCCCAGGGGTGGCTTAGCCGTCGCGGCACACAGCCCTTGCCTGCCTTCCTAACGTAAGTTTTGATGCCGTGTTTTTCGTATCTCTTGCTCTGAATTTTATTGTTTTTTCACACCTGAGCTTGCCCTTGGCCGTGTGCGTGCCGGGCGTCTGGCAGAGCCGGCGTTTGCTGCACTCGGCCCCTTTTCCAGCGGCTCCGGTGAGCATCCAGGTTGCACAGACCCCGCTCAGCAGAGGCAGCCAGGGCAGAGCTCCCCGCCCATGGGAGGTCGCCGGAACCCCGGAGCCAGCCTCAGAACGAGCGCGGGCCCTGGCGTGGAGTGGGGTGCGGCGAGGGGTGAGGGCCAGTGGGCAGCGGTCCCCAGTGCCAGGGCACCAGCGGCAGGGCTGCAGTTCACACCCGCTCACCTGCACGGTGGGAGGAGGTGCCGGCCACGGCTGGCAGGGAGAAGTCGCCGCGTGGCCCAGAGGCCAGGGAGTTCTGACTTCAGAGGGAGAGCTTTGAGGCGTGGCTGTTGTGCGCAGGCTGAGCCGCCGCTGGGGTCGCCGGCACTGAGTGCCAGAGCGCCTGGTTCCAGTCCCAGCTCCCTGCTACTGTGCCTGGGAGCCAGCCGTGACGGCTCAAATCCGGGGGCTCCTTCCACCCACGTGGCTCCTGGCTGCTGCAGGAGTTTGAGGAAAGAGCCAGAGGTGGAAGCTCCCCTCTCCCCGGCACACAGGGTGGCTGAGGCTGAGGCCGAGCTGATGGACGGCTGGCACTGGGCGTGTGGGTGGGGAGGGCCGCAGCTCAGCCGGCAGTGATGGCTCTCACCACGGAGGCTCCTGTGCGTGAGTTCCCGGAACGTTCTTTGGGACAGTCATGAAATTCCCTTCCAACTGACAGCACATGCTTCCTTCGGGACATCTGTGTGGACCTGCGGGGCCAGCAGTGAGGTGTCACGGGCTGGCCGGGGGGGACATGCTTGGGGTCAGCAGTGGGGCCTCGGACCACGTCCTCCCCTCTCCTGGAGCCCACCGTGGCCCAGTTCCCGTCGGTGCAAAGGAACTGCCAAGGATCCCTCCTGGGCAGTGAAGGCTCTGCCCGTCCCACCCTCCCCCGTGCCACTCCAGCTTCCACTCGCGACCCCCGCCCTCCAGGGGCGCCAAGTGCCGGGCCCCTCGCTAGCCTCGCCAGCCCTGCACCCCTGTGTCGGGCGGAAGCTTCGCTGTGGGCTCTGAGCGCCCGGTGTGTGCCTGGCGTGGAGGCAGCTTAGTTCATGGAACTGAAGAGCGGACGCCTGGCGTGAGCTGCTAGACGCAGAAAGCCCAGCCCGGCCGGTGCCCCAGGCCACAGCTGCCCTCCGTCCACTGCCGCTGCCACGGACTCGGCTCCGAGCACCAGGAGCCCTTGAGCCCGGCCTGGGTGCCGGGGAGATGGCAAGGGGGCCCCTATGGGCCTCCCCCACCCACCCTGCGGAATGAGCTGGGCCAGAGAATGACCCAGGAAGCCCACAGAACCACGGAGACAGGAAGGAGCCTGGCTCCAAAGTGGGCAGGTAGATGGAGTGACCTGTCGCCCCAAGGTGCCCACTGCAGCCTGGGCTGCCTGTTCAGCCCTCTCCCTCCCCTGGCCTGAGCCCCCTGACTGTGCCCTGCCTCTGTGTCCATCCCCTAGATGAGAGCATCCAGCCTTGGCTGGCCAGGGCCCTGGCGAGCCCACCACCAGGCCAACTTCCTGGAGACACCAGCACTTCTTGGGGCCGTGCCCTGGCGCCGACCCAGCCTGGACCCGACGCAGGGCAGAGCCCCACCAGGCGCCCCCACGGCCTGAGTGCTCGGGCGGGTGAGAGAAGGGGCCACGGAGTGCCAGGGAGAGGTGCTGAGAACGGGTGTGTTGGAGAGCCCCCGGAGGGAGCTGGCACCGGCTGGCTCTGCCCGCCTCTGAGCAGGAGAGGGGCACGGGCAGGCCGCCGTCCCCTGTGCAGGCACCCTGCACGTCCGAGTGACGCCTCGGGCCCTGGGCACCCTGGGGACCCGGCGGCAGCAGCGGAACGGGCTTGTCCTTGCTGGGAAAGCAGCTGCCGCCTGGGGAGACCCGCGCCCTCGCGAACGCCGGGCCAGGCCGTGGCAGCTTTGCAGACCGAGAGGAAATTCCTGAGATTCTTAGGTGGTGAACCCCAGACTGCACACCGCCTCCACGCGGTGCTGACGCTGCCAGGTGGGGCACGTCGGGGGAGTGGGGTGCCTGAGAGCCGGCCCCCTGTGGGGCTCCCCATGCCAGGCCGAGCCACGCCTGGGCCACGCCTGGGCCGGGGCGAGGTGGGGAGCATGCGGCCGGCGCCCTGGGGACAGAGGCCCTGTGTGCTGAGGCTGTGGCTCCCGGACAGGGCCACCTGGCCCCCATGGCCCGACCCTTCATACCTGCCGCTGGTGACAGCAGGAGCCGTCCCTGGGGGTGGCTGTGGCTTTGCAGGGGTGCAGTGGTGGACGTGGGCGGGAGATGTGTCTGCCATCAGACCCTCCCAGGGCTTGTCCGCTGGTTCCTGCTTCATTTGTAAAACCGATTTCCCTGGAAACAGTGGTCAGCCCTGAGAGCACCTCTGGGAGACCCCCTGCTGCCTGGCCCCCAGGACACGAGGCAGCCGCCCTGCCTCCTGGGCCAGCACCGTGCCTCCCACCAGCTCTGGATAGGGCCCTTAGCCAGCAACACCGGGCTCCACGGCACGAGACTGAGAGGCCGCCGGAGTCGCCCCAGGACGCCGGGACCTGGCGGGGGGCTGGACACACGTGTGGCTACCCATGGGGCGGGCAGCTGCAGGTCCGGCACACTCGAGCTGGGCATGGGGATGGTGGACAGCCCTGGACGCGGCTGCAGAGCTGCTGAGGGTGTGATGCCCACAGCCGCCTTTGTCACCGTGAAGTCCTGGCGCCACTGCCACACGCGCGGCACACCCCTCACCCTCATTGGGGAACTGCTCCTGGGAGGCCCCGCATAGCCGGGGGCAGTGGCGGCCACACGGGGCCCAAGGTGTAGGACTCACCAGCACCTGTGCCTACAGCCACTGTCCCCTCGCTGAGGACACACGGTGGGGCGGAGGCCTGGTGCTGGCAGCCTGGGGAGGGGCACTTGCTTCCCCAAGGCGAGAATGCGGTGACTGGCCATCGGTTGTGGCACAGTGGGATAAACCACGTCGGCATCTGTGAGGGCGCTGCTTCCAGTGCAGCCCCCTGCTAATTGCCACAGAAGATGACCCTGTGCTCGGGGCCCTGCACCCGCGTGGGAGACCGGATGGAGCTCCTGGCTTCAGATCGGTGCAGCTCCGGCCGTTGTGGCCAATTGGGGAGTGGACCAGTGGATGGAGGACCTCTCTCTCTCTGCTTCTCCTCTCTGTGTAACTCTTTCAAATAAATGGATAAATCTTTTTAAAAAAATGCAGTGATTGGAGTTAGGGACCTCTAGGAACCTCAGGAATCCATTTGTGGGCTCCGTGTTGCAGGAAGCCTCGCGTCTCAGGGCTGCACAGGGTGGGGGCTGTCGGGGAGGAAAGGAGGGGCTGACTCCTGAGGGAGCACAGGGGGCTGGACGCCTCTCCCCTGCCCTGGCCACTCCCTCACCCCCTGCTCCTCTGTCCCCACAGCTCAAGGGTGAGCACGGTGCCCAAGCAGGGGCTCCTTTAAGAGGGGCCCGGGGCGCCAGGAGCCCCCACCTCGTCTCAGCCCAACACAGACCCCCAGGGATGGATGCCCTCAGCCTGTGGCCGCAGTCAGGAAAAGGGCCACGGCCATGCAGGGCGCCCCCCAGGAAGGCCCCGACCTTTGAGGCAGCTGCACGAGTGGCCATGTCCTGGTGTCCAGCTGTGTGTGTGTTCATGCACACACGTGTACGTTGGGGTGGGAGGGGAACTGCTGCCCGGCCCCTGTGGGGGTCCTCAGAGGTGGGGCTGTGCTCTGTCCCTGGGCCCTCAGCTCCTCGGACATGTCCCACCCCGGGGCCAGCAGGTGGGCGGGCAGGGCCTGCCTGCCACAGTCTGTGTCTGCCCCCTGGCTGGGGGGGGCTGCATGCCACGGTCTGTGTCTGTCCCCTGGCTGGGGGGGGGCTGCACGCCATGGTCTGTGTGCCCCCTGGCTGGGGGGGGGGGCTGCATGCCACGGTCTTCTGTGTCTGTGCTCCCTGGCTGGGGGCTGCA